CAGTCGGTTAAGCGTCCGACTTCAGCCAGGTCACGATCTCGCGGTCCTTGAGTTCGAGCCCCGCGTCGGGCTCTGGGCTGATGGCTCGGAGCCTGGAGCCTGTTTCCGATTCTGTGTCTCCCTCTCTCTCTGCCCCTTCCCCGTTCATGCTCTGTCTCTCTCTGTCCCAAAAATAAATAAACGTTGAAAAAAAAAATTAAAAAAAAAAAACAAAAAAACAAAAAAACCACACTTAGGGGCGCCCAGGGGGCTCAGTCGGTTAAGGGGTTAAGCATCTGACTTGGGCTCAGGTCGTGATCTCACGGTTTGTGGAGTCTGTGGATTCGAGCCTCCTGGGAAGGGAGGCTCCCGAGAGGGGGGCGTGGGCACCCGCAAGGCTGGGGGTGAGCTCCCGGCCCCCACCGACTGGGCCTTTGTTCTCTGCTCATCGCGCATCCCTCCAAAGTGGATGTCAGCTCCACGGGGGTGGGGGCTGGTGTATGTCAAGCTACAGGGACCCTCCTACAGTCACCGGCTTTGATGTCACCAGGGGAAACCAACCAGAGGCAGCGTTTTTCGGACTGTATCCGTTATGGGATGTGTTCAATGTCACAAAGATCAGCCAGTGTAAAGTCACCTAAACTGACTCTTTTCATTTGGAACATACCTCCGCGAAGTCAGGGTGAAAGGCCACACACGCCCCTGAGATTCTGAGCCACCCGGTCAAACAGACATTCTCTCCCCCCCCCCCCAACCCCGGCCCCGCGCAGCAGCTGGGGAGGCCACAACCTGACGGCGGGACCCAGTATGAAGATACGCGTCAGAGGCTGGACTTCGTGCAAAATAGCGGACTCGCTTACGTCGATCCTAGATCCGGTCACTTGTATGTGCTGGCTCTGTCCCCCGCCCAGTCCGCCGGTAGGTCTTGTGGGCATGCAAATGAGGCATCCGAATATATTAATGCAGATAGGATGAGGTGGTTTATATCGGGATGCAGGCCGCCCTTGTGGGGGGGGGGGGGGGAGTTCTGACCATTGTGTCTCTGTGCTATTGTTTCCATAGTGTTCTGACAGCTCAGGGCCCGGAGCCTGCTTCGGATTCCGGGTCTCCCTCTCTCTCTCTCTGCCCCTCCCCTGCTCGCGTTCTGTCTCTGTCTCTCAAAAAATGAATAAACTTAAAAAAAAAAAAATTTTTTTTTTAATGTCCTAGTGTTTCCCAGACAGAATTATTATCTACTAACGTATCAGTTGCCCCCTTGGCCAAGCAGGTCTGTGTAGTCAGACTGGAAGCAGGACATCCTTTTCGGGATGGGTCCACCCAGCATCTGTTATGATCACCCAGAACCCAACACCGGTAGCTCACAACCTTGATCAGGATAATATTCCACACTTACACTTACCTAGGTATTTTTTAAAAATTTTTTTTATAAATGTTATTTATTTTTGAGAGACAGAGAGACAGAGCATGAGTGGGGGAGGGGCAGAGAGAGAGAGGGAGACACAGAATCGGAAGCAGGCTCCAGGCTCCGAGCTATCGGCACAGAGCCCGACGCGGGGCTCGAACTCGCGAACCGTGAGATCGTGACCTGAGCCGAAGTTGGACGCTCAACCGACTGAGCCACCCAGGCACAACCCCCCCCCCCCCAGGTATTTTAATGTAGGGTTTAGTTATTCAGTCCAGGAGATCTAATGTCCCCTGCTCTCCAGGGGTGATCAGGCCTTGGCCAACTGATTTAACTGAAATTCCAAAGGAATTATTTGAGGAACCAGGGGACTATTTATTAGTTTAGAATGAGAGCTATAATATTTAATATTTAATTGACAAGAAGGTCAGACACATTGTCCACTCGGCACACTGTCTTCCTGGGAAGAAAATCTACTTGAGGAATTGAATTACGAAAGCCAGCGGATACGAAACGGGTACATCACGTGGCTTCTTTCCCTCAAGCTGGAATCGCCAGATGACCGAGCTCGTGCGGTGGTCAGATGGTCATTTCCTCAGGTCAGGGCACCCGCTCCAACAGAGTCACAGAAGGGTTCCCCTCTCCACCTCCTTCCCTGGGCTTTCAACTGTTCCCGTCATTCAAGGTCAGTTTCAGCAAGACCCGGAAGAGGGTAATCACGAATGAGAAGGATCTGGGGGCACCTGGGGGCACCAGCATTCGGAGTAGGTCCCATCCATCTCAGGATATTCTCATCTCCCTCGAGGTGGTTGGTTCTAGAAAGCGCATGTGACCTCATGGAAGCCAGCGAGGCATACGGCTTCTGCGAAATGAGCCTCCCTTTCTTCCCGTGGAATGTTCTCCGGCCTGACCCTGAGACTGAATTGGGGCTACCGGCCTGCACCGGTCTGAAGACGAAGCCAGCCCAGAGGAGGGTCGAGCGACAGAAACAGAGCCAGAGGCTGCGGGTGGCGTCCACCCCGACACCCGCCCCACCCGGGGACCCAGGGACCAGAACGTGCGGGACGACAGCGGTCCTCGTGGTTCAAGCGAGTTGAGCCGTGTTTCGTATTCCACACAGCCGCGGGCACGCTGGCCGAAACCTCCTCTCCCTTGAGGAGTATCTGGGGAGCCACGGTGTGTTGGTTTGTTTTCATGGGGCAGAGCCCAACAAACTCCTGTCCTTCAACAGAGCTATTCGATTAGGCCGAACCAGCGGACGCAGGACAAGGACCCTCGCCACCAAATCCCTGATTCGCTCGTAACCTTCGTCTCCCCGAATTCACAACGCCTCTCTAAACGAAAGAGGATTTCAACTGCCTCCATTTTAACCTTGGTCTCTATTTGCTTTTCTTTTTTTTTTTTTTTAATGTTCATTTGTTTTTGAGAGAGACAGACAGCGCGAGTAGGGGAGGGGCAGAGAGAGAGGGAGACACCGAATCCGAAGCAGGCTCCAGGCTCCGAGCCGTCAGCACGG